AAGTGGGTGATTTGCTTCTGCAGGTCCGCCGTCTTGGACGGAGGATGGTAGCGGGTGAGGAACTTGTCCGCCAGATTGGCAAACGTGGTGATCGATCCTGGAGGTCGAGTGTCCAGCCACTCCTTGGCTTGCCCCTCCAGAGTAAATGGGAAGTACCTCAGCTGGATGGCATCGGCTGGGACCCCATTGATCTTGATCCCATCGATGAGCTCGTGGAACCGCCTCAGGTGTGATCGGGAGCACTCCCCCTCCTTGCCACAGAACACCACCAAGCCACGCAGCATGGTGATGACAAAGGTGCTCACCTCAAAGTTATTTGCTGGAACTTGAGGGTGCTGGATGGGCGACCTCATGTCTGCGGCTCTGGCGGTCCAGTAATATCCCATGGTCTGTTCCTCGGGAATGACCAAATCATGATCATGTGGGTCACCCATTTCTTCCTCCTCGGCGATTTGCAGATGTGCTAGAGCCTCCTCCGCAGCCAGTCGCGCCTTTAAAGCCCGCTTGAAGTTCCTACAGGTCCGTTCAAGCTCTTGGTCTAACGGTAGTAAATCTCCCGACTGGCTACAGGTCATGCACTACCTGTACGCAATCAGCAAAAGCAACCCGTGAAGGCACACAGGTGGAGGAGAGAAAATGCAGTAAAGAAAATGCTAAAGTAATAAACTTTCACATTTCCACAATAACCTAGAGGTTCCCCGGCAACGGCGCCAAAAACTTGACACGCTAAAACACAACACCAAACTGCAACCAAGTGTAATCGCAGCCGGAAATGCAGTAAGTGGCAAGCTCTATTTGTCAACCCGGGGTCTAGATCTACTGCCTACTCCGTGATTATTTATTATCTAGCAAACTAAGTCGAGTGATTGTGATTTTAACTAAAAGCAGTAACAAAGCAGGAAATGGTTCAAAGTTCTTTAGCAAGGGAAGAGTCACTTGGGAATGAGTCCCCCTAGCTCCTTAGTTAGGTCGAGGTTGTAATTACCCTGGGTTGATTAACTGTTGATTAAACTGGGGAAGATCCGATTGATAAAGCTTGGGAATGAGTCCCCCAATCTACCACTAGCGATTGATGAAGCTCTAACAACCTAATCAGATTCTATCTATCTCAGGTTGCAGCAGAAATCAAGAAAAGATGATTAGACTTCAAATGACTCAATGAATCATGCATCAATCGATTATAACCAATCAGTATAACAATCCCAAGTCATTACAATCAAGATCCCTAACACATGGAACTAGGGTTCTTCATACCCAAGTGAGAGAAGGTTCTACTCCATAGAGAGAGAGAGAGAGAGAGAGAGAGAGAGAGAGAGGAAAACAGAAATCAGAGTAGTCATACTCATAAAGATGAGGATATTTTGCTCCGGGATGTCGATCTTCACACTTGCGGATGCAATCTGGGGTTCAATGGTGAGAAATCCACTCCAAATAGCTCCTAGGGTTTGTTCTTCGCACTTTCTCTCTCTAAAACTCTGTTTTTTGCTCAAAAACTCGATCCCCTCTCCTTTGGCTTGAATCTGCCTCAAAAGCCCGATTCTGGGCAAAGCACGGTCGAGGACAAGGCCGTGCTTTTCTTTTGCCCGTCCGTGTTCTCAACACCTGTTAAAAACAAGCCCGCTTTAGCCTAAAACACAGTCGTGCCCCATGATTGACACGGTCGTGCTTTTCTTCAACTGTGCCCGTGTTTTGGACTTCGCATCCGCCTCCATGAGCAACCTCTCGGCATAAAAAACACGGTCTGAGACACGGCCGTGTTTTTCTCTAGTCCAGCCCGTGCTTTGCTTCTTCCTCAGCTCAGGTCTCGCACATAAAACACTGGTGTGCTTATCTGTGTACACGGTCCTGTTCTTTAGACCTCTTGCCCGTGTTCTGACTCCAGCTCGACCGAATGACCTCCAAAAGCCCCGAAACTCGTGCCTAGCCTTCCCTTCAACGCCTGGGACCTGAAATGTGACAAAGTAGCATAACCCAACGTAAAATAGGCCAAAAATGCATGACTACGAGCAGCAAACGGATAAGAACTAAGGGTGCAAACATGTGCAAATACACCATTATCATTTACCTAAAGAGTTATTTCTTAAACAACAGTTTATATACCTTGTTACATGAGATTTTTTTAATGGCTTATGTCATAATTTTTAATTGCCTGGGCTATTTACAAAACCTCATTATTTTGTCATCCTACAAAACCCAATCCAATGGTCCTAATTTGGGATGGGAAGATCCAATGGTACATATCATTAAGGGGCAAAGAGGGAAAATAGGATAGAGGGAGAGGCTAATCGGATTTTGCTGCCCGGCTGCCCAAATTTTGGGACGATCCCATGCGAATTTCGAGGCGACAGTCAAGGCCTTTTTCAAATTCCAATGAAAAATTCAATGGACCATAGCACATCATTTTTTGTGCTCTATAAAATTATATACATTTTGATATCTTTTGGAGCAAATGTTTCAATGTCATATCATATCAGATAATATTAGTTCATATCAAGTTCATGTCATTCATATCAAGTTACTTTAACCGATAATTGTTTTGACTTTTGAAGAGTTCATTATTTTTCTTTGTTCAAAATATAGCAAAATGGATATTGTAGATCATAATTAATGCACTCTTTTTATGCAAAATTTTTTAAATTCTTAGTTAAAACGAATGCAGTAAAATCAGATTAAGAAAAATAGGGGATTAATAAAAGTTGCTTATCCCTCCTCTGAATTCGTGTCAGGGTGTCAGCAAAAAAGAAAACTAACGGGTGGCAAAATAACCAATCCGCTCCTCCTTTTTCCAGATTAATGTGGGCCATCAATCTGCCATGATCAGACATATGGGGTTTAAATTTTGTGGACTTTTGTAGCTTTTGGTTTGTACAATAACCCTTTCCATTTTTAATACTAATTACCTAAAATACTATCTTTTACATGAGACTTGTGCAACTTGGGTTATGTAGCAAAGAAATGGGTTATTTATGCAGGACATGTTACAATTATAAAGTGGATGGCAAGTAATGTTGCAAGGTGGTGGGTTTTGGACATGTGTAATTATACTATGTAATTGAATGGTGAATCTCAATCTAACTTCGTGTTTGGTGAAGAAAAATATCGAATAAGATTTTGGAGTTATTTATGCATGGGAATAAGAAAAAGATTGAATAATATTTTAAAGTGCAAAGGACTAAGATTATTATGGAGTTGCATGATGCTGAGAAACCAATCCAAAATAGTGGCAGAAGAGGACATCCTCCTTCCCTTCTCCTACAAATTGAGGTAATGGGGTCAAAATCACATGAACGAGAGTAGAAAATTACAGTGAATATATAGTTTGAAAGATATTTAAAGATGAGAATAAACACATCTCCAATAATTAATGGAAATGACTTTGATGAGGTAAATTTCTTGTGCGTGAACGTGATAATGATGTTTCATATTTGCATTAGTTTTGCCTTCAAATTTGCTAGCAATAAAATGAGGAGAATGACAAAGACGCTTTTTTTTAAAGACAAATTGACGATGGAGATAGTGGAGGTAGTGGAGTCACTGATATATATATAACGATCTTCTTATGAATAATGATGAGACAATAGACGATGGAAATAGTAGAGTCGATGGTGAAGATAGTTATGTTGTTAATGGTTGAGACAATGGCGATGTTGATGGTGGGCCAATAGCAAAGAAGCCAAAATGAAATTTGCTCTAATTTGTCAAAATAAATTTGCTCTAATGTGTGACAAAGCATAGTAAATGAAAAGTAATTTGATTAGCATTTTTTAGAATTTAGATACCTTGCTTTAGTCTTGATTTTAATTTCAATAAGGATTTTTGTAGATGACTCAGTTTTATTGTTGGAAAATTCTATTGTGTATGTCAAATTTTCATTTTACAAGTACTTGAATAATTTGAATTCTTTTATAGTCCCAAATAAGAATAAGAAACCGTGTTACTTTGTACAATACAATTTATATCTTTTATTTATATTCTTCAAGTAATCTTGAAAAGAATGAACTTTGAGAGAAAATTGGCATCATCACAAAAGGAGAAAAATAGAAATTCAAAATGTTAATAATTATCATTGTCAAATTCCAATGTGACAAGGGGACAGTTGAAATTAAAAGAAGTGTAAGACAAGTTTTGCAATAATTTATAACGAAAATTTGCTAAATAATTTGTGATTATAAAAATTTTGTAGGATTTGACTCTTTTGCATCATTGCATGGGTTAAAATGTTGAGAAAACTCTAATGATATAGGTTCCTTTTCAAGATTTTTAGTGATTGAATAAATTTTTTTTTTGTATCAATATGTCATTGATGAAATCTATCCGTTTTTTAGAGTATAGATGATAGTTTGAGCCTCATAATCATATCTCATACCTGGTAATCAAACACAAATTAAGTGAAAACAAAGAAAATAATATATATGTAATTAGTCTGACCTTGCCTCTCTTCAATTAAGGAATTCCCCACAATCATGAGAGGGGGAATATCGATAAATATTATAATAAATTAAATAAAAGTATAAACAACCCTCCAAAGAACAAAAGTAAAATATTTTCATCAACGAAAATGATGAAATGCATCATAAACCAATCATGGTGATGAGAAGAAGAAAAAAAAAATGTTTTTTCAAAATGAGGAAGAAACAAAAGCAAGAGTGATGTCTCTCTCTCTCCCTACCCTCTAAACAGCCATCACCACTTTGATCATCAGAACAGACAGTTTCTAGGGTTCGTTTGGGCTCCCTGTCATCCCTTATAATAATTCTTTTTAAGAAAACAATTTAAACTCCCTTTACAAACCCTAATTCCCATATTTACCTCCATAAATTACCTTGAAAATTAGCCATTCACCAAGTGCATAATTTCCTTTTTCTTTTGCTTCTTCTTCCGGGTAGGGAACCCCTTTTTGTCGTTTCCGGTTTCCCTCTAAAATTACCTTTCGCCACCTAAATTTTTGCATTTCTTCCCCTGTGTCGCCTCAAATATAATGTGTGTTCCTTTTCAAGAAGTTAAAAATAGGATTGGCTGTCAACAGAGCTGGAGTGTTGTCGACCACCGTGCTTATTCCCATTAGCTCCATTCTTCTTCTTCTTTCCACCTCCGCCGCACGTGATGGTGATCTCGCAGCCGCATGCATTCCCGAAGCAGGAGAATAACCTCGTGCCTTCCGATTTCCGCCGCTGGTGGTTCCCCTTCCTTCTGCTCCTGGACTGCATCTTCTTGACGTCGGTGTCGTAGATCGGCGGAAGCTCCGTCCTCCACCTCTCCAGCTTCGTCCTCAGCCCTTCTACGCTGTCGTTTTCCGTCCAATCCTCCAGCACGGAGCTCCCCGCATCCCCGTGGCCAGCTGGCGGCTTGATCAACCCCTGCGCAATCGCTGCCGCCACCACCGATGCCGACGGCCCCACGTCGGAGCACTGGGACCCACCGTTCACCATGCTCCCGTTACCATTGCCATTATTATTATTATTATTATTATTATTATTATTATTATTATTATTATGGTGATTGTTGTGGTCCTTTCTGGGTACAATGGAGGAGTTGACCAAGGAGCCACCACCGCCACCAGTGCTGGGCCCCACCATAGAGCTGCTGCCGTAGCCGCGGGCGCGGGGGGCATTGGTGTCGTGATCAGTGGAGGTAAGGTCGGTGCGGTCGCTCTTGGTGCGGCGGAGCCTGGCGGTCTTCTCCTCGAGATTCTTTGCCCCCGCAGAGGCCTTGGCGTCGATAAGGTCGTTGAGGCCGACGCCCGATGCGGAGAGCTCGGTGTAGAGCGGCATGGAGCGCATGGTGTTGTCCAGGAGCTGCACCCCCATGTTGAGGATCCCCTGGGGGCGACCGGAGGGACGTCGGATCTGGAGCGCAACGAACCGCATCTTGGCGTTGTTGTTGTTGTGGTTGTTATGGTTGCCAGAGGGGAAGAGGTTGCTGATGAGCACGCGGACGGAGCCGATCTGAACGTCGCGGAGCCAGGCGGCGGCGTAGATCTCGATCATGACGGAGGAGGTGTCGGCATTGAGGAAGGTGTCGTCGACGCGGAAGACGAACTTCTCGTTCCATTGAGGGTTGGTGTTGCCTCCCTGGTCGACCTTGGTGCTCAGCTTGCGCTCCGGGTGGACCCACACCACCGCGTACGTCTTCATTGACTTGGACACGGGCGCCAGGTCCTGCGCCGAGATCACGTTGATCTCTAGCAGCTGGAACGGGTGGGTGTTGTATGTCATTGTGGTGGTTGCGGTGGTGGTTGGTGGCCTTGTTGCTGCTGATTTCGGCGTCCCGGCCCCGTATGTAAAGATTGTTTGAGGAGGCGAAGAGCGATATTATTGCGAGGGTGATGGTGGTGGTGGGCGGTGACGGGGGAGATTAGGAGCTGAAGGTCAGGGAGACTAAAGCTCTCTCGTTTTTTCCCCGCTCACCGCGCAAGAGGCTGGAGGGGGCACAACGAGGTGGACATAAATGGATGGGGAAGGAGGGAGGGTGAGAAAAAGAGATTAAGACTAATTTAGGGATTAACCAAATGAAGGGTGCCGTGGAGGAAGGGGTGAAGGGTTATTATTGATCAAAGATGGCTAATTATAATCATTAACGGGGAAGGAGAGGAAGTTAGTTACTACGTACGTGGTTTAATTCGCGGGTTTGACTCCTCTCCAGCCGTGGAGTTATATACCTGAAAATTGAAATCACTTTGTACACATACAATACACATTGGTACTCGCCATCATTTGATCCATCCAATTATGGATGTTATGATGTTAATTAATTAATACTAGTTACGTTCAACTCAATAAGAGAAGAGCCACGGCTATCTTTATTAAAAGTCGGAGACGTCGATCAACATTCGTATGACCATCAACCAACGATTTTTGACCGCATATGATCGAAAGTATAAAATGAACTGAAATTTTGTTTGGCCCGACGGTCAACCGCAGTCAATGATCGTTTGGATGGACAGACAAATGTGATATATGAGCATTATGTCTGCTATTCAAATTGGTTTCTATTTTGACTAGATAGAAATTTCAATTTTGTTAATTTTAATTTTAGTAAACTATTATAAATTTTAAATAATTTTCAGACACTATAAAAAATTTGCTTAACTGTCATAAATTATCAGACATTGTAATTAACTATAAAAAATTGTAACTACTTTTACGATATTATGGGCTAGTTTGGCCATCTTGTAGTTTTTGTACAAGCAGCTTCGACCAAGAAGTTTAAGAGAAGTACTTTTTAAAAAAATTGAGTGTTCGGCCAAAAATTTATTAGAAGTGCTATTCAATATAAAAATTTAAATAAAATGAATAAAAAAGATTTATCATATAAAATATGAATAAAAATTATTAAAAAAATTAAGAGTAGTTAAAAAATGGATCTTGTTAGATTTTTTTATATGGAATAATATTATTTATTATTTTATTTTATTTTTGACATAATATAAATGAAATAATTTTAAAATATTGTAAGGATAATGTTTTATTTTGAAAACAACTTTTTGCAGAAGCTCCAAATCAGGACTTCTGTTTTTATGTTATACAAAATCACTGTTCAGCTTTTCAAAAGTCTAGCATTTAGAGGTGTTTGACCCTACTTCTTCTTTTGAAATAAGAAAACACTTATATAAATCGGGCAAAAAACATGCTATAATCAATTATGAGAAATTCTATTTTATTTTATGAATTATTTACTAGATATTATAATAAATATAAAAAATATAATTTAACTATGATACATTGTAGATAATGATAAAAATTAGAAATAACTATCAGGCATTAAAACATTTAATTTGATTTATTATTTTAGTTTTCAGAAATTTAAAATTTAATTCGTTTTTATGTATTTAATTATAAATTATAACTAATTATCTGACATTTAAAATTTAATTTGTTTTATGAATTTAATTATTAAAATTTATAATTAAGTATCATAAATTTAATTCATATATGCATTTAATTATAAGAAATTGTAATTGATTATAATTATTTTTCAAGATATATCAAAATAGAATTGACAAACAAGAAAGAACTAAGGATAAAAGGTAGAATGGGAGACCACATTTGTAGACTTGCGGCGAATAGACCAAAACAAAATGAGAAAACATTCATGTAAGCTTATGGAAAAAAGAAGAGGCAGAATTAGTGTGTCCCGTCGACCTCCATACTAAGGAGCAATATTCTCTAAGTCGAGGTGCCACCCCTACTCTTACACTTGAGGATATAGTAGCTTCATATCCAAAATTGCAGCAATTCAATTTTTGGGGATGATGATCAAAGTAGTCAAAATTCTAATTTATATACGGCAAACCACCATTGCTACTTTTTTTAATCTCTCTACTATGAGATTTATGTGGACAAAAAAATTTATATACGGCAAAGCGTTGGGTGGGGGTGCGATTTTCAACAAAACAGCACCGGCCCCATGCGGTTCGTAAACCCCCCTGCCTGCGCGGTTTTCATTGAAAACCGCACCCCCACCCAGCGGTTTTCGAGAAAGAGTGGTATTTTTGGAATTTTTCGTACATGGATTGTAGTTTTGTAAAATTTTTTAAACAGTGGTACTTTGAATTTTTTCCCCATAAACTAGTCATGCTCGTGGTCGTGTCGTGCTCTAATTGTGTCGTGTTGTGCATGCCCGTGGACAGGCTGACCTGATGCCCAGCTACAAACAACACCAAGCCCAATCACAACAAAAATATCCATAAAATTCATAAGAACGAATCGAATGTAGAAAGAGAATATCATTTAAACTAGGGTTAATAACATTTCTTACCTCTCTACTTTTGCAAGTAAACAAATATAACGCTATCTTATTTTTTAGCACGGTCATGCCCCTCAACTATCAAAACATAACAAATATGCTCTTCTATCACTATTTTCGTCAAATGTCTGTTAGAGGAGCTTGGTTTCAATTGTGATCATGTTCAACAAAAAAGAAAAGAAAGAAAAAACACTAAAGAGGACTCGGTTCTGATACAAAACTCGTGGTAGCGGCCTTGGAAAACGATGGTGGGGAACGACTTAGTATTTCGCCGGCAGTATTTCGAGATGGGCTGCAAAATGGTGGGCAAAGACGATGATTTATGCAAAAGCCATAGACGAAAACCTAGCGAACAATAACAAACCACTAAAGAGGATAAAACTCGGTCCAGATACAAAACTCGTGGTACCGGGCTTGGGAAACGATGATGAGGAACAACTTAGGATTCCGCGGACAATATTTCAAGATGGGCTGCAAAATGGTGGGCAAATGCGATAATTTGTGTTCAAGTTAGGATACCCATATGTTTGGGTTCAATTGTTGTCATGCTCAGCAAAGCAAATTTAACTTCCTCAATAAAATGGATTATACCTTCAAAACCGAAGAAAGAGATATTCATCTTTTCAATGATTATGAAACTATCAAACTTTTGTCTCAAAATTTTATTCAACAACACAAAAAGAAGTACAACTATATCCATATTGGGTTAGTTCAAGTAGGGATTAAGCCTCTATCCAAAGAAGGCCTTAATACTGCTATTTTAATGGTTTTACGAGATTGTCGGTTTCTTGAGTTTAACGACTCTTTACTTGGAAGTGTTGAATCAAGTCTTTGTAATGGCCCAATTTACTTCAATTGTTTTCCAAACTTTACTGTCTCTCTTCATGACAAAAATATTTTAGATGTTTTAACCCTACAAATAAAAACTTTCAACTATAAAATCCAACAAGGATCTTTACCTATCTCTTTGGTTTACCGCTTACACTATAAAGCTATGAAATCTGCTTTCTCTTCTAAAGCTCTTCAATATGGTACAAATGGAGAAACTATACTTTGGCAAACTGATTTAACTCGTACTAACACTGTTATTCCCAAAACTATCAAATGGGGAGAAGTTACTCTTCCTACAGAATGGACCCTTGAAGGAGCTACCATTCCCAGAAGCATCGACCATCGTCAGGTTAATCAAATTACTCAACATCTTGATGGTACTGTTAACATCTCTTTTGCTAGGAACTCCATCTCTAGCATTTCTGATATAGACCCTGAATTGACAGACGATGCTCGACAGCGCATCAATACTTTTCTTAGAAGCCAATCTTGTAGAAATCTTTCTCCCATACCTACACCCACTCGACATACCTCCTCTACACTCAACTATGATCTACGAGGAATCAACAACTCCAACAACATACCTCAGCCAGTTTATACTCCACCACCTCCCACAACTCTTTTTCCAAATATAAATACCTCGAGAACACCAAATATGTCTCCTACTGCCTAACAAGCTGCATTTCCTGAAGAAGAAATCCCTTCTACTCTTTATGTCATTACACAAGAGTTCAAAATCAACAAAGAATTTCTTCGCCATGATTTCTATTCCCAACGAAATCGTTTTAAACGCGAGCAATTTTTTACTGATTACTCTAAAGAAGAACGTGTACTTATACAAAACTCTTTCTATGATTATCTCAATACTATACGAGAACACCATTCTTTCTTTAATTGGTTCGAACAAGTCTTTTCTCAATCTTCGATAAATGTTCAAACCAAGCCTATGACTTGGTTAACTACTAATAACTCTAAGATCCAATCTATTCACCCCCCTAATGCTCCTGTTAATTTTTCTTATTATGGAACAGCAGTTCAAGCCTCTCCTTTTAAATTAAAACTAGAAAATAGTGACCATGTCAAAGGAGAAGATATTCGACGTCTGATTGAACAAAACAATTATACAAACCGATTTCTTCAGACATTAGCAGATCAACTTACTAATGTTGAAATCAGTTTACCTCTGTCTTTTGCGTCTACTTCAAATACTCTTATTCCTCCTTCCAACAAACTTAATTCCCCCATTTTCCAACCTTTTGAAGTTTCTAAAGAACTTGAATTTAAACTTGAAATAGAAAAACGTCTTAAACAACTTTCTACACAACTATCCACTTCTAAGACTCCTTATATTTCAGACTCAAAATCCACGAGCAACGAGGATAAATCGTCGATGACTCAGCCGAAGTAATTCAAGACCTAGAAGGTCATATTGAAACAGAAATCAATCGTCTCCGATGGAATCAACCCTCTGCATCTAAGATGTATTACCCACGTCCCACAGCACCTGATTTAGCTCTCGAAGAGAAACCCACCATTATCCAAAAAAATACAACTCCAATTCTATTTATGAATGGAATCTTGATGGATTTTCAGAATATCAAATTTCGAACCTTCTTCAACAAATGACCATGGTAGCTAA